TCATAAAAATTCGTTATAAAAAAATTCGCTAATAAAAGCTTCATTTTATTATACTTGTACAGATCTTCAGATTCGTTGTACATAATAGTAAAATTTACTATAAAAATTCGTTGTATTTAAATTATTTTATTAAATAAAATTTTGTACTACTCATGTGATTCGCAATAATGCAAAATTCGGAATACAGAAATTCGTTATAGAGAACTTTGACTGTAATATAACTAAAGAGAGATTTTTTTTAATAAATTTATTAATAATTCAGACTAATATAAATATGCTTATAGAGAGATATGACTATATATAAGTATGACTATATAGAGGGTCAGCTGTACTTCTTTTTAGTTACAAAATAAATATAATAAATGTAAATAACAAATTTTAGAAAAAGAAGTTAAGTTAAATGGTGATAATATTAAATAGTGATAATATTAAATAGATTGATATAGAAATTATAATATTACTTGACTTTTAGAAAATAATTTAGAAGGGTAGAAATGAGGAAAAATGAAAGTTTATTAAAAAATTATTGGATGAAAATTTATTATCAGGTCAGACTGCTAAACAAATTAAGAATAAGATAAGAAAATTACATAAAATATATTTGTAAAAAAAGAAAAAATTAATTCTACTAATGAGCATTGTATAAATTGAATTTGATTTTTCAAAATAAAAGAAATTTTATCATCTAGTAAAATTATTAATTAAAATTATATTGTAAATTCTTTTTTAATTTTAGATTTTTTTGATAATGAAGATTTTAAAGAAAGTTATGAATTAAAAAAGAAAAAAAATCTGAAGTTGAAAGTTTATCTGAAATAATTATAATAATAGAAGAGTTAAGAAATAAATTTATGAAAGAAAATTAAGTTTAAAAAAAAGAGAGAATTAAAGAAATTAGATTTAAAAGAAAAAGAGAATCAAAAAAGATTTGAGTTAAAAGAAAAAAAATTGGAACACTAGTTTGAGTTAAAAAAATATAAATTAGAAAAAAAAAAAGTTGCATGCTAAAAATAAAAAAGTTAAATTAAAATTGAAAATATTAAGGTTAAATAATAATAAATAATAAAATTATTGTTATTTATTTTATAAAAAATATTGTTTATTAATTTTATTAATAATAATACTTATTCTATTACAAATTAATTTAATATTCTTTCTCTTTTAAGTTCTCCTTCTAGTTTTAAAATTTCATTATTTTTCTCTTTTCAATCATATTATTTATTATTATGAATTTTTTAATCAGTAATTTTCTAAATTTCATCATAAGATTTAAGAAAATTATGTAATAATATAGCACAATCTACTAATTTAATAGCTAATTTTAAATCTTTTATAGTTATTTCTTTTAATACTTTAAATCTAGCTTTTAATTTACTAAAAGCATTTTTTATTACTACTCAATACTTTGAATAAATAAAATTAAATTAATGTTGCTGATAATTAGAAGGATTTTTAAAAGAAGAAATTAAAAAAAAAAATTAAATAAGCTAAATTACTTAATATATAATCATTTTCTTTAATATATTTTTCTTTATTTAAAATAATCTGAATTGGAATAAACTTTATATTATGTATTGATCCTGATTATCCTATAATATAATTAATAAAAATATTTTTATAATCAACAATTCCTTAACTTTGAGTTGCATATTTTTTTTCTTGTAAAATATGCTATTGTTACTTCACTCAAATAAAATGGATTCCATTTATTGCTTCAATAATATTTGAAATCTACTAATAGCTTGAAATCTTTTATGAATAGCTATTCGATTATTACCATAAAATCATTAAATAAATTCTGATTTTTTATTTTTAATAGCTTTAATTGCATGATTAATATAAAGAATTACCGTATCTTTATATACTCTAAATCGAGAACAAATACTAAAAATTTCATCTTTAGAAACTAATTGACAAAGAAATACTGCTAATTATAATTCAACTGATGCTTGTGATTTGTTTTCCATTGCTTTGAAAAATTGTATCATATTGTAAAATTTCTACTAGCTTATTAAATTATTATTATTTTATACATGTCGCCTTATACAACTTGATTTTAAACGGCTTTTATTGCCAAAAGCAATAAAAAAACTGCTTATTCATAAAAAAGATTTCACAAATCTTTTGTTTTATCGAAAATAATAAATTTTATTTAATGTCAAACACTCGAACTTTGAAAAAAATACGCGAAGTTTTCAACGGATATACGAATATTCAAATTTGGACCAATCAAATTAATCAAATTCAGGGGGGTACAGCACCCGAAAGTTCTGGTATGTTTTATTTCACTAATAAAAAAACATACCCCTGATTTCGCGGATCGTAAGACGGGGGTTTCCTGTACTACATTTTTATGACATACGTCATCATGGATCGTCTTGGATCTAGTTTAACTAGGGATGGATCGGTCCTGGTAGTACCGGTCTTAGACCGTTAATGGCTCGGTCCATATTCTGAGGACCGGTCCAAAGAAAGACCGAAATGATTCGTATGAACGATCATCGTTTTTATAAAAGATGAACCAAGCACAGAGAAAGTTAAAAAGTCCAAGAAATCGACTTAAACCATAGGCCGTACATTATAAACTTCATAGGATTGGTACTTACCCCATGAATAAGCTACTTTCACGTAAGGGCCTAAGCAAGCCAAGTAATTTTAATCATAAATTACGTGAAGATGCTACATTTATTGGTGAAAAAAAAAAAACACGGAACATAAAACACGGATTAAATGTTTTCATAAGGCTAATTCTTTTTTTTTTTTTTTAATGAAACAAATCATTTTGATTAATAATAGAGAATTTAATTAATCATGGTTATAAATCACGATGGGAAAACATTATATAAAGGGGTCGAGGAAGGAAAGGATGAAAATTAATAAAATCGACAAAAACTTGACTGAAAAAAATCTGAAAAATCAAAATGAAATTCAATCTTTTCTTACTCCTCTTAACTATCTTTGCCGTGGTTGCTCTCGCGTATCCGAACGATCAACGAACGGGAACGAATCTATTGAAACGTCAAAGAAATCCAAACTGCAGAATGGATTGTTGTACTCCTGGTAATGATAAATGCGTTCAGGAATGTGGTAAGCCTACCTGCACTTGCAATCCCAAGGCTTCTTGCTGTAGAAATGCTGATCAGACATGTAAAGATGTATGTAAATTGCGTATATGCGAACCGAAAGAATTTCCTGTTATCGGCCAATGACCTGCTTTGGGCGTTTATGGTTGAGAAATTATTTAAAAAAAACAAACATATGTACCCTATTATGTAAATCGTTCAGATTAAACAATCGTACAAGGTTTTTTTGGTTAAACTTTTAGTTATAGAAGTTATAGATGGTTTTGGGCACAAACTAATTTTAAAAATTCTTCTTTAATTATTATCCTTGTCAGACAAGGCAGTGTCTTCTTTATTTTTATAGTATTTTCACCATAAATAGATTCAATAAATTGTTCCTATATTATTATTAAACTGTCCTAAACTCAAACTGTCCGTTATGGACAGAGTATTAAAGTTTTTTTTTTTTTTTATAAATCCATTATGTCTAATGAATTTGCATCTCTGTGCTAATCTGGAGCAGTTCCTTAATTGCGCTTCTGATAAGGAAAGTAATAGTGTCGTACGGCTATATATTGTAAATTAACGTTATGGCACTGACATCAATAAAATAATCCAGTCTTTAGTTCCAATTTAGCCAATCAGAGATTTAATGTGTATCACAGACTCCACTTTTTTTGGAGTAAGGTAGTTAATTCTGACTATCATCGTCCCAGAATTCATAAAAGTCAAATGGCCATTTGTTCATTAATATGGTTTATGGGACAAAGAATTGGTCGTTTGGAACAAAAATGGTTGACTTGAATGCAAGAACAATACGTCCGTAGCTGTCATCAATATCAAGATTTTAGATATGAGTTTAACTATATTCTATCCCAAGGAATGTTTTATTCACTAGGAAACGGGGACCGTTGCGAGTCCTGAGCGAATTATTGGACGAAAATCACGTGGCGGACAGAGAAACGCTCACATGACCAAATGCACAGAAATATATAGTCCTTCGCTTCGCTCAGGACAATTAATAATATCATGGCGGACTATCATATATGCTTATGTTTTTTTCCTGGACTGTTTAGAAATGCAAATCTCTAGTCATGATATCATAGAATCGATCATATTCTTCCCTTTTTTATCTTCATTTGTTCGTTTCATTGCTTGATGTTTTGAATGAAACCTTTGGATATGTTATGCTAACCCTTATCTTTTGTAATGCCTAGAAGGTCTTCGGCCTGAAAAAAATGCCAAGACCATTGTCTCAACAAAAAAAAATTATTTTACTTGATTACAAATCCGGTTAGTAGAAAGTGCTTCTATTATATTGACATATTTTTCATAATTGGAAACATTCAACATAACAAGTATAAGATTTTCTCATGGAAAGCGATACACAACTAAGCTGGATGAATACCTTTGATCCTTGAAGTTAGTAAGAGACATAATAAAATTGCTTTACAATTTTACAATTTTAATATGTTTATTATAATTCATGTCAAGTATTGTTGGTATTTTATAATTCAAATTTATAACAAACGATAATTTAATTAAGTAAAAAGGGAAAAAAAACTAATGTTGCCTTTGTATCTAAATTCCTATATCTAAAAGGGTTTATTATTTGTGTAATTACAACTAAATTCTTTATATCTTGTAAACAAAGTTTCATTCAAACATGCACATTAGGCTAGACTTCAAAAATTTCGCCTTAATGGAAAGCGGAGTTTAAATATACCTCCCAGCGATACGGTTTTTTTTTTTGTTCTATTTTGTGATTTTCATTAATATTATGGGGTGGGCCAGAATGTTGGTCATTGGGACAAAAAAAAAAAAATGAAGTCTGACCTTATAAAAAACACTATAATCACCTTGAATAAAATAATTTTACGAATGAATGTAAAAGGGCTTTGATAAATTAGTAGACGAATTTGAACAACGATGGTAATACAAATAATAATAGATATACTCAACGACCTTTAATTTGCTTTAACTGTGGAGAAGAAGGACATTTCGCACGTGACGAAGATTAACAGATCTTCTTTAATGAAAAAAAAAAAATTGCAATCGGAAAAGATTACTACTTAAAAAAATAAACTATATACGATCACATGAAATAATGTTTGTTTTCTTTTATTGAATCATACCAGAAAATGGTATATTGTATCTATATTCACTTGTAAAGAATGAATATTTAATCTAGTTTAGTGATGCCAAGACCCTTCCAAATATTTGCATCCGACTGCGTTAAGAAATGAACCAAGCACGAATAAAAGACTAAATTGCGTTCTGAAACGAATATATGTTTAAAATTAGGAATCAATAATTCATTATTGAGTTTGCATCGGCAAAATTTGAAATAAATTTTATTAGTTTTACTAAAAACACAATATCCGATCATTGATCCATAAATCGAGCAATACTAATGACAAAATTTTCGTCCAATGATTTTGTCCAAAGTCTTGGAAAGTGTACACCGATATTATGATAATAGAAACAATGAGTTCTTATCCTAAGTCATTAGGCATTCCAGGCTTTTTTTGAATTGTGCTACATTTTTCATATTACTATATAAGGAGACAAAAATGTCACAATAATCAATTCGAATAATCATATCGATATAACCTCTACAGCTAGCTCTTCATTATATAATATAAAAAGGTTTTCATTTAAAGACAAATTTATTCCTATATCAACATCCGGAAAAGTTTTCCATACCCAAACACTTTAGGCAAGTCTAAGCTAAATAAGTTTTTGTTAACCTCCCCACTAGCGGTTTCTTCTCTTTCCCAGGGCGACAAAGTTTAAAGCGGACAGAATTGTTGCTCTGATAGCGCGTCTTTTTTTTTTGTTTCTAAGCTTTTGTGCGTGTTTTCCGTTTTCGAAGCTTTTTCGTGTTACAACCTTGCTAGCATAGCTCTTAATGGAGAATTCCATTGCAAAAAGAAAGTTGCATTGGGAAAAAGAAAAGCACATACATTATTATGAATTCTAAACATTTTATTTATTTTTTTTTTTTAAAAAAAAAAATATAATAAAATAGATATGTCAAAAAAGATACAAAAAACCGTGTCAAATATGATGAATTCTATGGTTGGCAACAATTCAAGACATAAAAGGAGGACCGAAAAGACTGAAGAAAGTGAAGCTAGTAGTTCCCAAGTAAAAGTGCCAAAAATAAACTCGGAGGTCGAAAAGGTTGAAGAACATGATGAAGGTATATTTGATATATTAAACATTTTGTATAGTTTGATTTCGAAAGCTAATTATTTATTATACTTTTTAGATGAATTTGATCTCACATTATTACCTTTTCCAAGTATGTTCAAATTCAAGCGTACCATCACACCTATATATATGAAATAATTATTTATTATATAGTCTACTAGGATTATACGGGATCGATTTTTTATTTATAGTCTTATAATTGATAACATATGTTGACTAGCGGTTGAAGACCGATCCCCCCCCCCCCATTCAATGAATATATAATGTACTATATCAGTAGGCTTCAAGGTTTATTTCGTCTTTTCTTTTTATTTTTCTAGCAAACTCGACCAAATCAGCTACTCAACGTATTTATAAGGAATTGAGAATGATTATACATAACCAGGAATCACCATCTAACGCTAGTGATTTGGGATTTTACGTAAATCTTGACAGGTTGCGTTCGGTCTACCAATGGGTTTGTACTCTATCTTTTTCCTTAAATTTATGATATGATGGATGTTAATCCATGATCTTTCATAGGTCGTGCAACTCAAAAACTTTGATCCGACTATTCCGCTGGCTCAAGATATGGCAAGGCACAAAGTTAAAAGCATTGATTTGGAAGTTCGCTTTGCTCCAGATTATCCTAATTTACCCCCGTAAGTTTTATTTTTGGAAGGACTTTTATTAAATAAATTTACTTACAACAAATTCATTCCCTTAGATACATTCGTGTAATTCGTCCAAGACTTCTTCGATTCATGAATGGTGGTGGTGGTCATGTAAGCAAATAATTCAATACATTTCTAGTAAAAAAAATATATATATATATATATTATATTTATTTGTTTGTTTTTTTTTTTTTTTGACTAGGTTACAGTTGGAGGATCAATTTGTATGGATTTGTTAACAATGGGCAACTCTCGTGATCGAGGATGGTCTCCTGAATATTCGATGGAGGCAGTTTTGTTACAGGTCAAATTGGCGTTAAGCACTTTAAATCCTCCTGCAAGACTTGACCGAAATTGGAGGAATGAATATAGTCCAACTGAGGCAATGAGTGCTTACATTAGAGTTGCCAATCAACATGGATGGGGAGTTCCACCCCATTGGGATACTTTATTTAAAAGCTAAGAATTTATTTAAAACTTTATAATGTTAATTAAACTTTACGGTTTTTGAAAAATAAAGGAAGGTATTTAATGTATAGAGCTGCTATTATATTTATGAATTAGATGTACATAATAATATTATTTAGTTTGGAATAAAGCAACAAATTATCAATTGAATTAACCTTTAAATATTCGTAATATATATATTCATTCAAATGACTATGACTCAGTTTCTTCAACTGTCTTTTGTTTCTTTCTTTTTCTCTTCACTTTTTCTTCAACGGGTGGTATGAATGCCTTTTCTCTTTCGGTTTTGCGTTTCAACGAATTCTCTTTTTGTTTCTCCTTAAAAAATAAAAATGAAGTGAATGTTTTACCTTTTTGTTATTTTTTTTTAAAAAAAAAAAGAGGGAGTTAAATTGTAAAATTACTTTTTTCTTTTCCGCTTCATGAAGGACCTTTTCTTGTGGGTTAAGGAAATATTCACCAGATTCCAATTGCAAATCAATCTACAAAAAAAAAATTTATGTTTTTTTTTTCTTTTAAATAAATATACATAAAATACATATATTTTGTAATTTTCAAATTTAAATTATTTCGCACCTTGCTTGGAATTTGAGCAGGTGGGAAAGGAGTGTATTCTTTCTTCTTTTTAATAACTCTCTTTGGTCTTTTAACATTTTGTTTCTTAAATTGAGGTAAAAAACGCTCCCAAGATTCGTTTTTTAATTTTGGATCGTTAGCTAATTCTCTTTTTATCATTAATTCCTATTCAAAAATATATTGTTCCAGTTAAAAAAAAATAAAATAAAATAAAATAAATAAAAAATAAAAAATAAAAATTGTAAATTAAATAATTACTTTGATATGATAAATTGGATGAATATTTTTTATGCAATCAATAACTATCCTCCTAACTTCTTTTAGTCCCTTATATGGTCCCATAGCCGATACAGTATTTCCTTGAACCATCACGTAACATTTGGTCAACATCTCGATAGCCTACTCATAATCAAAAAATTATAAATTTGTGTCAATTAATATCAAATAAAGCATTAAGGATAAAAATTTATTAAAACCTTGAGAGTTGATCCGTCTGGCCCGATTAATCTTTGTCTTCTTTTCACAAATATTTCTTTATTCCCGATTATATTACCGATTTTGATAATATCACATGCTATACCATCCTCAAGAATCTTCACAGCCTATTTTCAGAGAAAGTCGGTCTTCAATTAAAGAAACATTATATCACATGAAATTATGACAACTCACCTGAGAGAATGGAACACTCCTAGCTAAAAGCTTAATTAAATCTCGCGCCTTTATAATGGCATAAGGATCGTACGTTTTTCGTGTAGTCTTCACTGTCATGCTACCTTCTATTAAATCCAACACGCAAAAAATTCCCTATTTCATGAAGTTACCAGGTAAAATAGGAGGTACTTTATTACATTATTTAGGGGTAAATAATATATATATACATATATATATACCACTTTCTCTAAAGCTTTGGTGACATGAGGCCATGCTTCTTTTAAGTACTTTTCGCGGTATTTTGGAAACAATGTTGCAAATGATGATTCTTCCGTGAATGTAAATCGATTATCTTCTCGTGAAAATGGCTCAATTTTCCAATGATCTATATCGTCTGTATCCCACGCTATACATCAAAATAAATGAAATTAAACAATGGATTTGTGCGTCAGTAATATTTCAGGAATTACTTAACAGAAAATAATTACGCTTTTCTTTTCGATATTTTTTTGATTTAGGTTTATTTGTTGCATTTGAGCTAGAATTTTGTTCAACTTCAGTCATCTTTCCGTCAAAAGTCTTGAATTCATTAATTCGGCCCCCAATCAAATTATATTTCGCCGATCATTCCTAAAAGGATTAATTTTTTTTCCCGAAAAAATTTTTGTGATAATCGGTTATCAGTTCCTATTTTAGAGAATGTTCCGATATTATTTATATTATTTAAATTAACCAGTACTTTTTTTTTGTTAGCAAAGAACTTTTCTCTCATTATGTCTTCAAAGCGAAGTTCGAAAACTTCCAAGAATGAAGAGCCTTCAGTAAGTTTGAAAGCACAAACTGGAAAAACTTGGGGTCGTGATAAAGGTAAATACAATTTTATACTCTTTTTTTAAAAGGTCAAATGAATAATACCACTAATTATTAACCTTATTTTAGATATATCATATAATACTGTTTTATTGTCTACTCTTATTCTCACTTGTTGTCCACTCTTGGTGGTTTATTTTTGGGTGGTTTGCACTCATTATCAATGTTCTATAATTGAGCCGATTATTCTTCTCCAATCAAATGATTTTTCTAAGGAAGCTTTTGAATCTGTTATTTTACATAAGCTTCCTCAATTTTCATTAGATGGCATAAAAATTTACTTCGCTTGGTTAAGTTTTCAAGCAATACTTTATGCTATCTTGCCGGCAAAAATTGGTTATGGTCAAAGAACTCCAGCTGGACACATTTTACCTTATAAGGTAATTATTAATCTTTTCGCCAAATCGAATCTGTTTAAAAGCCTCACACTTCTTACTCTTTTTTTTAGGTAAATGGACTTTTAGCTTGGTTAATTACTCATACTCTTTATTTGGTTGGTGCATTTTACTTCAAATGGTGGGATGCTTCCATCGTCCATGATCAATGGGGTTCTCTTTTCATAGCTGCCAATATATATGGTTATTTTCTTACCTTCTTCTCATTCATCAAAGCATACGTGATGCCTTCGCATGCAGAAGATCGAAAATTTTCTGGCAGCTTTATTTACGATTTGTTGATGGGTATTGAAATGAACCCAAGGTTTGGAAAATATTGGGACTTTAAATTATTTCATAATGGTAGACCGGGCATTATAGCATGGACATTAATTAATATGTCTTTTGCTGCCGCCCAATATAACAAAATTGGTAAAGTGATTTCTAATTCATTTTTATATTTAATAAATTTAATTGATATATTTATTATTTTGAAATTTGAAATTTTTTGAATTAGGTTATGTAACAAATTCAATGATCCTATTGAATTTCTTGCATGCCGTCTATGTTTTGGATTTCTTTTATAATGAGGATTGGTACCTTAGAACTATTGGTGAATTGTTTTAAGTAGATAGTAAATGATTTTTCAATTGAAATTATAATTTATGTTAATTATAAACTGTTAACTTTTCATTTTTAAAAAAAAGATATCGCTCATGATCATTTTGGATTTTATCTGGCATGGGGCGACACCGTTTGGCTTCCGTGGATGGTAGCGTATATTTATCTATTTTAAATTAAATACATTGTCTTCTTTGATCAATATCTATCTATCTCTCAATCCTTTTTTTAGTACACACTTCAATCGCATTATTTAGTTCGAAATCCAATTGATCTTTCAATTCCTTACTTTTTATTTGTTCTTGGAGTTGGACTTTCCGGTTATTATATCTTCCGAGCTGTAAACCATCAAAAAGATATTGTTAGAAGAACAAATGGTGATTGTATGGTTTGGGGTAAACCTGCTAAATTTATTAGAACAAAATTTGTTACCAGTGATGGAAAAACTCATTCAAGTATTTTAATTACAAGTGGTTTTTGGGGTAAGCCTCTTTTTTTAAAATATATATATATATATATATAAATATATATATATTAAATCTTTTTTTTTTTATAGGAATATCTAGACATTTTAATTATGTTGGCGATTTGCTTATATCATTGGCAATGTGTCTTACTTGTGGATTTCATCATTTACTGCCTTATTTTTATATTGTTTACATGACGATTTTGTTAATTCATCGTATTTGGAGAGATGATGCTAGATGTAGAGGTAAATATGGAAAATATTGGGATGAATATGGAAAGGTTGTAAAATGGAAATTATTCCCTGTAAGTGTATATTATATTTACTTGAATATTTAATTTACGAACGTTATAAGTTTTTAAAAAAACAAAAATTTTTTTTTTCCTTTTTTAGTATATTTATTAAATAATGATTTTGAAGGATATGATAAATTGTGTAATATACTGTGTTACCTTTTTTCTATTATTTCCTTTTTCCAAACAAAATAGTATAAGGTCAAGTATAATATAACTTTTTAAACAAGTTAATTATTTAAATAATTATTTTCAATACATCTTGATTTAATAAAAATTACTCCTTACCAAGAAATTTTTATTAAATTGGTGGTTCAAGGATATTTTCGGTAAAAATCAATGACAGCTAAGAACCATATTATAATTGACAAAGCGATAAAATAGATCGTTCACGTGAAAATCTAAAATCGGCCCGGTAATTCTTAATTCTGTCTTGCAAGGAATTTTAACTGATAGACCCATGAAAAACATATTATACGTTAATCAGAACGTATGAATTTCGAAATTTTTTATGATAAATAACTTTTTTTTTTGAAACCTTAAAAATTTTCAAGAACCGTACCTTAGATCCAATGTACATTACTTTTTTTTTTTTTTTTGAAAAACATTAATAAAAATAAATCAAATTTTCCCATGTAAATACATATCTATATTCCTATGAGCGATATCGTCTACCATTATTCTCCCAAAATATCTATTTATTTATTTTATTTTATTTTTTCATTTAATCCTCCCAATAATTTCGGAAGTTTTATTATTGTTATTATTGTTCTGTGTTTTCTTCACCTTTTCTCCAACTCGTAACTTTGTCCAGTAATTCGAGAACTTGTTCATAAATAACAAACATTAAACCGCTTTGCATAGCAGTCCATGCTACACGTGGTCCGATTCCTCTAAATAACCCTCCAATCCCCTGATGTCTATAATTCCATAACATTCCTTCCCATATTCCTGTATAATAATAATGTGGTGGTTTTTGTGCAGCTGAAGGTGTAGATGAGGGTTGTTTTATTGCTGAAGGTTTTTTGATTTGTGTTTGTAATAATGTTTTAATTACATCCAATGGCGTTGTTAATGCACCCGCTAATCCACCTGCCAAAGCTCCTGTAGCAATCTCCCAATGTAAACTTAAATAATTGCTATTTTTGTACATCTTTGCCCATAATTTAAATTTTTCTATGAAAAATTTGAATTGTTAGTTATATGAAAAAATAAATCACTAAATACAAAAAAAAAAAAAAATCCTTTTTTTAAAGTTACCATAAAATGCAAATTGCAACGCTGAAAATGGTACATCTCTTAATAGCGTTGCTTTATATCCATGATAAAATGCACCTGGTCCTTCCAATTTATAAACCTAAAAAAAAGGGTAAAGAATTAATGAAACATAGCTAATTATGTAATAAAATAATATCGAATTATAATGTTAAATCAAATAAAAGTAGCCCATGGCAAACGAACCACCAAGGCGCAAACGAACCATCTGCGCAGCGTGCCAAGTATTTTTATAATTATAACCACTAACAAAATGTGGATTGTTATATCGTCCTTGTAATTGCAATCGTGTTTTCAACACCTTAAAATTTATCATTTTATGATAATGCGTTATATATTAGAAATCACATCAAAAATAGAAATTACAAGATTTTAGTACATACCTCGGAAGGCACATATACAACAGATGCCATAAAGTCACCAATAGATCCTAATGAAAGATCCATTCGAAATTATAAATAAAGATACAATAAAAAATAGTTAAATTTAAATTTTATTTTCTTACCAGCAGCTAAATGCGCAACTGTGTCAGGAACTCCAGTTTTTAATCCAATTATATTACGTTTCACAAACTCATACGTTCCAAAATATATTGTAGTAGCTGGTACTAAGAAAAGTTAAATCTACATGTCAATACCTTACCTTTCTTTCTTTCTATTGCTTGAACAAGAAAAACCCAAGAATATATTTTACCTGAACCTAACATCGCAGGAACAACACCACCATACAATCCACGCATTACACCTTCTTGCTTTACAATCGTAGTATAAGCATGCATCATATTTTGATATTTTGGGGGTTTGGCTGGTTTTTGACCTTGCAATCGAGTTTTTACTGTATCAATACTTTTTTTTTTAAAAAAAAAAAACAAAAAAAAAAAGGAGATAAATCGATCGAAATGAGACGAAATTACGGATTTAACAAAAAAAGTTTTAATATATACCTATGCATCAAAAAATCGGCAGTCGAACCACCAAGACACCCAGCGAACATTACCTAATACAGGAACAACCCAATAAAACAGTTAAAATTTTTCAGAATATAAGAATAAGATTAATCACGTCTAAACATACATATGTTAGTGGTTTACATTTCGCATAACCATATTCCTCAAGTAATGGTATTGGTTCACTTATTGAAGTGACTTGTGGATTATTCGAATCCGGCGCGCACTTTGTCGACCGAAGACTACGCTTTCTTGTTGAAGAATCATGGTTTGAAAGTTCTATCATGGTATTATCATTTAACCACTGTAAAATTTCCTCTTCTTCACTCCGAACACTTAAAACTTATTAAAGGTTTTTTTTTTTTTCTTTCTTATTATTTTAAGATATCTTACCGAAATATCAAAAATTTGATTAGATAATTCTTTTATGTGATACGTTATCTATATGGCTAAAATTGCGTCGATCCCTTGGAATATCAGATGCCAAATTTATTTTTAATAAATCACGTTATTCTGGCCAGCATTAAGATTTTTATTAATATCGTGAAGTATATTATTAGGAATTATGCGATACTTTTTTAATAGCAGACTCCACTTGTTAGGCAGGGTTGGGAAATGTACTGTACTATACTAGTACATTTTATATACAGTATTCCTCCGAAAATAAGCAACATATTTTTACTAGTGTTGCTTATTTTCGGGTAAAGGCGAATTTAACTAACGCAGAAATAACACAAATCTTATTGAAAATATCCAAAAGTTGATCATTTAATATATAATACGCATCATGATCTGGTCGCCAAAATCATACTTTCAATTTATACAAATGCCTAATAAAAGAAAAGTTGTTAAACGTAAGGCAAAAATTGTTAAATGGATTTCATATAACATAAAACAGAAGATAGAAGTCGTTATATATACAAAGGAAACAGAAAAAAAATAGTACAGCAAAATATTTTAACATCAATCCTAATATGATAAGTCATTGGATATTGCAAAGTTTAAACTGAACTGAAATTAAAGGAACAAGCAAATGAGTCAGCTTTAGTCATAAAGCTTTTTTTTCTGAAGCTGAAAAAAAGCTTTATGATTGGATTATTCAACAACAAAAGCAAGGTCTAGCTATATCATATGCAATTTTATGAAGTAAAATACTTAGAATTTTACAAGAGGATATATTAGAACTTTATGAAAATTTGATAGAGAATTTTCATTATTAGTTAATAACATTTTTAAGAAGATACAGGTTGTTGTTATGATAATATACAAGAATTTCTCAAAAACTCTCAAATAAAACTTAAGGATTATTAGAAGAATTCTATAAATATATCATACGTCTTAAGTTGAAAAAATTTTACAAACTGAAAAATATTTTAAATATAAATGAAACATCTATTTGATTCAATATAGTAGGCAATTTTACTATAAATCTGAAAGGTAAAAAGATTTTTATATCTATACATCTGAAAATAAAATTGTTATTTTAATATATGCTGTAGGTAAAATTTTCTTTTTTTTATTTTTTTTTATAATTTAAGTTTTTTTTTAATTTTTCAAAAATATATATAATCTTTCATAATAAATAAATTTTAAAGGAAGATTTTTCTTAATAAGTAAGATTTATTTTTAAGGTTGATTAGTATTACAAATATACTAACAGTATTTATTTTTTAGAAATCAAAAATTGCAATAATATGAAAATGCTAACTTAGGAATTTTTTCATAAAATAAAAATTTAAGATATTTTTTAACCTGTAATTTTTTTTCTTAATCATAATGATTTTTCTTCTAGTTAATTGTGAATTATTAATATTTATTTTATACTACTATAATAAACAAAATTAAGCTATCTCCTATTTATATTTTTAAAAAAAAAATGAATTTCATATAAAAAAGAAATTCCTACTAGTATTGTGATCTAATTTCAGCAAAATAGTTAGATAAGTTCAAAATTAATGTTAAATTATATGGATTTTCTTAAAAAAAAAATTGAATAATTATACTTAACAATATTAATATATGATTCTTTTAAAAGATATCTAGAAAAATCAGTCAAAAGAAAATTTTATGAGAATAAGTTTAATTTGACAGTAATTCTTAGTGATCTTATCAGTATTTTCTGATCATAAGATAATATTATATGAAAGAAGACATAGATGATAATAATCAAATAGATGATGTTAATCCCTAAAAAATCATATATGTCTTATACATCTTCTATGTCATCTATGACATATATTTTTTTTATACAATATATTTCTTTTATTTATTTTATTTTATTTATCTTATACATTTATTATATTATATTTATTTCTTTTATATTTTAAATAACTTTATGTATTTCATTTTATATAAATAAAGAATATTTTCTTTTAGCTTAACTGTATGTCAAATAGATAATTACAAGATAGTTCAGTTTAATTTTCTTAATATATTTGTATAGTATAATGTATCAATTGAGGCAGTACTCCATTGTTATTATTATTATTATTAAATAAACTGTCAGTTGATCAACACTCTTCTAAAACTAATTATAAAATAAACCTTCTACTTACCACCTATAAAATATTGCTTTGCTTATCATTTTTAAGCATTTTAAAGAACTGACTATAATAATATTTTATTAATAAACCATTTAAAGATCATTTTCAAAAGAAATGATACATCTGAATAGCTAGTGATTATGCTGAAAAAACTTCTGCAGGTAATCTTTATCATGTAAGAATTAGCAATGTTTATTTATAAGTTAAGCGTTCATATGATGTAATTTTAGATGGAAGTCTTTTAAGACTTGTAAAATTTTAACTAATTTAAATGAATTTAATTCTGATTAAAAATTAATGGTATTGATGATATTGATAATAGCAATGATATCAATAATAGGTATGATAATGGGTATGATGATAGTGGTAAAAATATTAATAACAATAATATTGATGATAATATAGAGTATTAAATTTGTTACATAAGTATAATAGATATGCAAAATATTTTAGTAATATAAGTTTCATTATTTCAAAAGACATAGTTTGAAATGTCAATACTTTTTTTTTAAAAAAAAAGAATCAGGCAATAAAACAAAAAAGATGAAACATTCACATAATTCGAAATATGCTAAAAACACATCCAAACAATCATTAAAACTTTAGATATTATTAGTGGTCTGAATATAAACCTATTTTTATTATAGTTTAAATCAATAGAATAATAGAAATAAAAAAAATATTCCAATTTTCTATTGATCATTTATTTTATTGGCCAACCCTGGTTAAGTTAAGTATTAGCATATTATTGGTCAAATATCACATACCCAAAGATTTGGGTATTTATAATAATATTATATCTGATTAACCTTTCGACATATGAAAAAAAAATTTATAAGATTATTGATATAGTAACAAACTACAGTAAATCCCATGGATTCATGATTTATTTTTCCAAACCATATCACATAGAATAAACATACAGAGCCTGAATTATAGATGGGATGATTTTTTTTTTTTACATGAATAATGGTTTAACAGTAACTAGGCTAAGTTATATCATTTTTTCACGTGCATATTTTGTGATAATACTGGTAACTTTCAAATTTGTTTCTAATGAATTATGTGTCAAATAACCATGGCAAAGAAATAGAAACAAAAGATGGTAATGTTGTTACACTATTATTGATCATTTGCCACCGTTTATTATCTCTTGTATGAATTTCTCCTCAGTTAAATCTGGCAACTTCTCATCTATGACCTCAATACATTTCATGACCATTAAACAAGGTTGTATGCTATATGTCATTGATGTGTAAATACTACTTTAAGAAAGCAACGAGAACAGTTCATACCTTTAACCTCTAAACACTTAATAAGACTATGAAAAAATTCTTTATATTTTTTATTTGTGTCAGAATTTCGATAAGATCTTCTCCTTTGAGAGATGTATCCCTTTGTAGATGACATTCAATTTATTTGCAGTTTGAGTCCTGTAATCAAAATTTTTCAGTTATTAAACTGAATAATAACTTCTCATATGAAACAAATTTCGCATACTTGAATATTAAAGTCCAACAATCTGTAAATGTCGAATTTTATTATTTGATTTGACCAGATAAGTCAAATAAACCAGCATATATGCATTGATTTGCTTAACTTGAGTCTGTCTTTAAGTCGTTCTGTAGAATTTATTTGGACAAATAATGAGTTCACTTCTATCGCCTTATACTTTACATTATCGTTATAAGTTCGTAAAATTCCATCAAGCTGATGTCCTAATTTTGCCTTTCCTTTCAGATTTGTTTCTGATTTTTTCTTCTTGATACAGCAATACTTGATGAATCTTTCCTATAACACGAATGTTATTAGAATCTCTGAACTTTAATAATTGTATATGAAATAATATACCTGACAGTTTGTAACCCTCGAATATTACTAAAAGCACAATCGAATGATTAAAGACCAAATGTTCGTATCATAATAGCCTTCTAGATAAACTAATTTGAGGTTTTCATTTGATCTTCATAATACATAAGACTATTTATAAAGTATACATTCTTGAGGATTTCTACAATATTAGGGGTTAAGCATAAGAAAAAAACCTACAAGCACCCTAATACAAGATCAATCCATTCGATGTCAAAATGAATTTCCCAGTCAAACAATTCGTTTTTATTTCGATAGGATATCGTTTCTAACACTTTTCTTAAATCAGCAGTTGTTCAGATCTAAATTCAGCAATATACAACCTTTTTTAGGAACAGAGAGGAAGAAGAGAGGAAGGAATTTGTTTACTTACATTTCTAAATCTTGACAACGTTTTAGCAATACGCAAAGGTTGTTCACAGACCTCTTTCGTAATTTCACACCAATCATCATCAGTGAATAACTGTTTGATTTTCCAATCACTTAAGTCAATTATTCACGAGTGGATTGAAGATTCAACTGACAATTGTTTTCTTTTGTTGAAGTGAACATCTTCAATGCATATGCCTGAAGACAATGTCCATTTTTTTGATTGGTTTATAGCATTGCAAGAATCAACAAACACTTAAGTTTTAATAGGAGTAACGCTTTGTAACATCTGTATCACTGAAAAAGAATATGGAAATGAAGTTGTGACAAAAAATAAAATCAAAGAATTGTTATACTATACCTTAGTAAATACTCTGATTCTGAATTCTCAAAGTCAGATTCATCATCTTCCTCATCAGTTTTGTTTGAAATGTCTTATTTTCACTGATTTTCCTTTAGAATTCTGAAAAAAATTATCGATCTCGTCTTATATAAAATACAAGGTCAATATTATAAAATAACATAAAAATAGTAACATTAACAATTTTTGTACTTTTTATTCTCTTTTACTTTCAGTCAATTTATTATCATTGATAGTTCCAGAGTTATTAACCATAGCATTCCCTGCGAATATTGAGTTATGTAGGTAAATTGAAGATCTACTAATTATTCTGTCTGATGTGCGTTCATTTTTTCATTTTCTTGCAACTTGACGATCTGGTCGAGTATCCTAGAATGAATGATAGAATTAGCAATTTACAACGCATATTTATAATTTCTCATCCAATTTTTTTTGTCCTGTTAGATCGGCTAGCAACCTTAAATATCAAACGATCTAGCAAGTCGCCCATGCTCCAATGAGATCAGTGTAGAGTCAGTTAACAACTTTGAATATCAGACGATCTAGCAAGTCGCCTATGCCTCAACACTGGCTTTATGGCTCAGCTAACAGCCTTGAATAATTGATGACCTAGCAAGTCCCGTCACACCAATTATTTCACTTGCATTCATTTTAAAACGAAAAAATTACTTGCTTTTCTATCAAGAAGAATTTGCATCATTTGAGACCTATTCCCTTATTCGCATTTAAACAATATCTTAGAGTCTTTTTAGGTAAAGATCTATTTTTAGTTCAAGTGATTCTACTTTACATTTTTCTAGAAATCCAGTTATATTTTATTCAGAAAATTTACGATCGAAATAATCATGCGTTTTGCTTTTTGATAATGGTAAGAGCTGGGATACTTTATATACTAATTAATCAAAACTACAGTATATCAGGTGTAGGGTGTCCAGGAACATAAAATATGCATATTTATGTGATTTTCTATAAAATATGTGACACATAACATATGTGAAGAAAATCTTAAAATATGCGCATATATTTGTGTCACATATTCCTAGACAATCTAATTCTGTTATACTATTATGATCTAAATCAATAAAAAAAAAATTTTTTTTAAAAATTCATTTTAAAATCTTTTTTTTAATCTTAAAAAGTGGCAACAATCGAAGAAATTAGATAATAATTAACAAAGACAGAAGTGGAACATGGTGAAATAAAGAATAAGTTGAATGATTGGGAAGGAGGAGACTATAAAGGAAAGTTATTGAACGAGTTGAGGATGAAGTTATTTAATGAATATAGGAATGAGGAGCAGAAGAAAGGTTAGGAAAAGATGGTAAAGGAGTTGAAAAAGAAGAAGAAATCATTGGAAGCAAAGAAGAAGAAGTGGTGAAATCAGGTGGTATTTCTACAACAAGAATTAATGAAATTTAATAAAGAAGGTAATGAACAAATTGCATAAAAAAAAAAAATTATTTTTCATTTGTTCAATTCCGTTTATTTATTTATTTGTTTGATATATTATTTACAAGCTTTAACTAATTTGTATTTTTCTTTGATTGCTTATTAATCCACCTTTTATAATTAAATATATAATCTTTTTATTCATCTGTCAAATATTATCCCAAATCAAATTCTGTGATTTTTTTGCTCATCTCTTGTTTATTAAAAGAGTTAATTGAAAAAGAAGCAGGTAAGATTAATTTTCAACACTTACATTTATGAAAAGTAACTAACCTGTTCCTTTTTTTGTTGTTCTCTTTGACCAATTATTTGGATAAAATATTCATTAGGTGAGTAAAATTTTCTACTCATTCAAAAACTCTCTTATTATCATTATCATTTATTTATTTTTGTTTATCCTGTGAGTTCATCATCATCAATTAATACTTGTTTTCTTTTATCTATATCAATTTTTTTTTCTGATTAGATCATAATGACTTCCATTTAACTAGTCTTTAAGATTCAGAAAGGTCATTAGATTTAAATTCTGTTAAAAAAGCTTTTGATTATGATTACACAAATCGAGAACAACTTTGTGTTTTATTTTTGAAGCATTTGGATGATCTGGCTAGCACATATGACAAAGATGATTATTATTTACCATATATAACATTAATACAAGCAAGTAGTATGGGGAAGACACAATTAATGAAGGAAATTAGAAATGATATTTTTATGATATATTCATACTTTCGTGAAAGTTCTACTGGAGTGGCTTTTCAGAACGTTCTATTTATGCTAATAATATCCTGCAAAAAATAACCAATATAAATGCTTGCTTTCAATAGGCAGCATATTTATGTGCATGCTTGGTATCACTAGAAAAGTCTCAAATGGAATGTAAGGAATATTGGAAGTATCAACAATTATTTAAAATACAAAAAACTATCAGGGATATGTCTCACACAATTTTTCATTCTCTAAAGAGTTCATATAAAAAGCATAATAATGAGAATGAAGTACAGTTGTTAATAAAAGATGAATTGAGAAAGCATTACAATAATTTTATTGTAAATCAACAAACCCAGCTTGATAAGATTACAACAAAACTAAAGTTAGTCTTTACATTTGATGAGGCACATTCTTTACTCCCATTTGAAGAAAGATCAATAGATTATTATTATTGGCTTAGGATCACTTTACGTGCACTTTCTGAAGTGCAAAACCAAGAATGTCTTATATTTTCTGTTATAACAGACATAATGGGAAAATTATCTAATTTTTTACCACAGATTAAACATAATCCTTCCTTACGAGTGCAACATAGAAGTCATAAGTTGTATCCTCTATACTATCTTCTTGACACATTTGATGCTCATGTTCATACAGCTGCTTTGACACCAGATACTTTAGATGAAACTGCAAAATGTGAATATTTTTTTCAGTTTGTCAGACTTTTATGATATGCTCAGTTGTCATCATCTAATGACCCTGATTATCCTGACAGGTTAGTAAAAGTGGCTATGTCTAAACTAGGATTTATTTAATCAGAAAAGCTAAATTTCAATATAGCTATTTCCATTCTTGGTTCACGCATCCAGCTTGATATTTCTCCTCAATCTGAGCTTGCAACTACTTTAGTTTCAAACTATATGTATTTGATAATGTATGTGTCTGAAGATCGCCAAACAGTTATTATACAATCTTCATCTGAACCTCTTTTGACTATAGCAGTAGCAGCAATTATGAATCAGAATAATGCTAGAATCAATAACATTCTTAACTATCTTGTTCAGAGAATCAGAAAGGGATCTGTTTTGCGTGGATATCGTGATGAAACTATAGCTCAACTAATTATGTTAATGGTATAAGATAAACATGCAGCCACTTGTTTCTCTACTTTGAGTGTAAAGTTTGCAGAGTCAATAAGGATTTTTGACTATTTGAAATCTCTGATTGTTAATGAAGTTTTTGAAGATATATGGAAGAAAATAGAAAATACTGACTTAACAAATGGATGGATTCATTTCAATCATTTTGTTAAAATCACATATACCCCAATAAAACTTAACTTATTTGAGTTTGCTAAACGTGAAGTTGTAGCTTATTGTAAAGAACTCCAGAAAGGTGCTGATTTGATTATTCCAGTTTTGATTGATGAAAAGTTACATTTAGATAATGTTACATTCATATTGATACAAGTAAAAAATCACTCAAAAAAGACATTATATAAAATAGAAACTACTCTTAAGCTTACACCTGAATATATGGAAATGGAGGATTTTAAAGATTTTAAATTACCATATCTGTCATTATATATGCAAATTAGTATTGATCAACATAATCATGAGGTTTTATCAACAAGAAATAGGAATCAAATATCTGTTGCACTTTTTGGGTTGACTAGAAAGTTATATAGTTGTTTGGATTTGAAAATGGAAGATAAAACATTTGAACTTGAAAAATCATTGAGTAATTTGCAGATAGCATCTGTAAATTTGATGGAATTGATTGAAGATGAAGATAAGAGAAAGATTATTCATCATATGCAGCCTCTTGTTTATGATAAGAAAATATTGAAGAAAAGGAGATTGAAATAATAAGAAATAATAATTCCCATTAAACATCATTTATTTGTATTAGTCACGCATGTTTACATTAGATATACAATGTTTTAAATGATATTTTGTATATTTTCTATGATGTAGAATTCAATGTACGAACTTTGCTAAGTATGCTTGGTTCTTTATCTATTTATATACAATAAGGTATATACAATAATAAATTTTTTCTAAAAGTGAATTAAATACTTGCGACATGTATTCTATGTTAAAACATGCGAAAAAATTCTCTATTTCTTCGCGATTTTTGAAGGTGATGGCCTTGTTGGAATAATTTTCTTTTGAGAATCTGTACAGATTCAGCATTATATTCAGTTTCAACGTTATTTTCCATTTGATTTTGATAATCATCTATAACAAAACTAATTTAAAATAGATCAACTAAAAGTATCTACAAATGTAACCTACCATAAATTCCAATAATCTTAATATACCTGATTTCATCTCTGACATCTGTGCCGGGTTGGAAGCAATGTTTAAACTTCCATATTCTTCATATATATATACTCCATCTTTCCACATTATAAGCATTTTGATTTCGAAAAGATAACCCAATATTCCGAAAACAGACCGGTTATTGTAATTCATGTCACCTTTTCCCATGGCTCGTAAAATCCTAACGTTTAAACAATCTCTCATCTCTCTGTACAATTTAAAAGAATCCATTGTAAGTTTTGTTAAATCAGATTTAGTGGGAGGTCCGGCTTGCTCTCCAATAAAAATTTCTTCTCCCGTTTTCTAACAAATCTGCAAACTTTCCGTCGACTATTTTGTCTATAGCAAGGTTATGTCCATAGTTTTTTCGATACTTTGAGGCCTGCACGGGAACTTCCATGCTAAAATAAAAATAAATTTAACATAACGATTTGAAAACAACATTACGATAGCTTAAACTCAATAAACTCAATGCTTACGCTCTCCAGTCAAGACCTATAAATTCTTGTAATGCCCTTGAGAAAAAACGATACCCAAATTCTGACCAATAATGGTGCTCACTGTTGTTTGGGACACTAATATCTGGGACTGGTTTTGAGAATGATTCGATCCTACAATATAAAATATTAGAAACAATAAGTAATTAATAAAAATAAAACTAAGAAATCACTTACAATGGAAGCATAACTCGATTCAAATATTTTTTATCTTTATTAGCTCTTCGTGATCTTCCTCTTTCGCAACTCCCAGTTCTTCTGTAGTACGAATCCAGTCAGATATATTTTTTATCGACCCACTTTCGGTTGTTCCTATAAAACAATGGAATCAATAACTGCTATGAATGACAAATACAAGAAATAACATATAATTACCTTAAAATATTTTTCAATAACATTACGCCAACCTTCTGGTAATTCAACTTTCCTTTTTGGTTTTTTTAACATTAATTTTATATAATCATCAATCGACAAAAATTTAGAAAACCCGCTTTCTCCTCGAATATCCATCATGTCATCG